CTATTGACTACCATGTTGGCTGTTGGTTTTTCATATATACCTTGTGTTATCTTGAGGAATTTTCCTCCCATTCCTATCTTCTTGAGTGTCTTAAACAGGAATTAGTGTTGAATGTTGTTGAATGCTTTTTTCGCATCTATCAATATTACCATGTGGTTCTTACAGTTTTTCATGTCAATGTGGTGAATGATACTAATGGTCTTTCCTATGTTGAGCCATCCCTGCATCCCTGGTATGAGTACCACTTGGTCATGGTGAATTATTTGTTTTATATACCGTGTTTCCCCGAAAGTAAGACATCCCCCCAAAATAAGGCCCACTTACAGTTTTGCCTCTCGCTGAAATATAAGGCATCCCCTCAAAATAAGGCCCCCCCAAAGCTACCGTAACTCTGGACTCTGGACCGTAGCAGTGGGCACCGCTGCTCAGCTCACTGTTGGCCGCAGCGCAGCCAGAGCAGACAGGAAGTGTGAGGTCTCTTTTTAATAAAACAATAAACAATAAATGTGTACCATATTCTTCTTCGTGGAAAAATAAGATATCCACTGAAAATAAGATCTAGCGCATCTTTGGGAGCAAAAATTAATATGATACTGTCATATTTTCGGGGAAACAGGGTACTTTTGTATTCTATTCGCCAGTATTTTGTTAAGGATTTTTGCATCCATATTCATTAAGGCTATTGTTCTGTAGTTCTCGATTCTTGTGGGATCCCTGCCTGGTTTCTGTATCAGAGTTATACTAGCTTCAGAGAAGGAGTCCGGAGTTTGCCGTCTTTTTCTATGTTCTGCAAGAGTTTGTGTAGGATTGATGTTAGTTCTTCCCTGAATGCTTGGTAGAATTCTAAGCAATCTAGTCCAGGGGATTTTTTTGTTGGTGATCCCTTAATAACCTTGTCTACTTCTATCTTCGAATATGTGGGTCTGTTGAGATTCTTGACATCTATTGGGGATAGTCTAGGGAGTGATTGTTTTTCCAAGACTTTGTCCGTCTTTCAAATTGTTGAATTCATTGGATTACAGTACTTCATAGTTCTGTATAATTATCCTTTTCATTTCATTAGGGTCTGTTGTAATGTCTCCTCTTTCTTCCCTCATCCTTGCTTTTGAAATTTGTTCCCTCCTTTCTTTGGTTAGGCTTGCCAATGGTCTATCGATTCTGTTTATCCTTTCAAAGAATCAACTTTTAGCAGCATTATTTTTTTCCTTAGTTTTCTTATTTTCCCCCTCCTGAATCTCAGCCCTGATTTTTATTTCTTTTCTTTTGCTATTAGTAGGATTGTCCTGCTGACTCTGCTCTAGTTGCTGTAAATTTTGTGCCAGCATCAATCATGAGTCTTTCTTCCTTTTTCAGGTATGCATGTATTGCTATGAAACTTCCTCTGATAACTGTCTTTGCTGTATCCCATAAGTTTTGGTATGTTGTGTTCTCATTCTCGTTGGTTTCTAGAAATTTCCTAATTTCATCTCTGATCTGGGACACTATACTTTTGCAATAGAGAGTTATTCATCCTCCAATTGTTTGCTCTTGTTTTCTTCATCTTTCTTTTGTTGATTTCCAGCCTTATAGGACAGTGGTCAGAGAGAAAGGTCTGTATGATATTAATGTGCTTAAATTTATGCAGAATCACCTTATGCCCCAGCATGTGGTCTATCTTCGAATATGTGCCATGTGGGAATGAAAAGAATTGGAATTTTTTGTATGTGGATGAAAAGCTGTAAATATCAGGCCAAATTGTCTAATTGTAGTGTTTAGATCTCTAGCCTCCTTGTTAAGTTTATATCCCTGTGATCTATCTTTCTCAGAGAGTGGTGTATTGAAGTCACCTACTATAATTGTTGAGGCTGTGATTTCTGTTTTCATCTTTTGGAGCGTTTGACATATTCAGCGGGTCTCTCGTTCAGGGAATATATGTTTAAAATGCTTAGTCGTTCTTTGTCTACTGTTCCCTTGAGCATTATATAGTGTCCCTCCTTATCTATTTTTATGGTTTGCACTTTGAGTTCAATTTTATCCGAGATTAGGATTGCAACCCCTGCTTTTTTTGTGAATTGCTGTTTGCTTGGTATGCCTTTCTCCAGCCTTTGATTCTCAGCCTATTTTTGTCTGCAGTCTTGAGATGTACCTTCTATAGGCAGCAGATTGCTGGGTTGTGTTTTCTAAGCCAGTCTGCTAGCCTCAGTCTTTTAATGCCTGAGTTCAGTCCATTGTCATTCAGGGTTATGACCTCCATCTGTGGACTCTGTGATGTCATCTTATACCTTTTGTGTTGGGTGTTTTCCTACCTCCCTTTCTTATTATGGTGTTTGTGTGTGTGTGTTGGTGTTTCATTCTTGGCTTATTTTCAGCACTAAGCCAATGCTATCTTGGGGGCTGTTTTCTCTTTGTTGCCCTCTGGGTGGGGTTGTTCTATGTGGCAGTGTTTTATTTATGCTTGGTGAGTGTTGTTCTTTTGCCCATACTGGGGCAGCAAGGATCTTTTGTAGGGCTGGGTTTCTTCTAAAGTATTCCTTGAGTTTTTCCTTGTTTGGGAAGACTCTTACTTCTCCATCTATCTTGATAGATAATTTGGCTGGGTAGAGTATTCTTGGGTTTGTGTTATTTTCCTTCAATTTTTGGAATATGTTACTCCACTCTCTCCTTTTCTTTATCGTTTCTGCTGATAGGTCTGAGCATATTCTTATTTGGGAACCTTTATATGTGATTGCTTGTTTTTCCCTAGCTGCTCTCATGATTTTCTCCTTTTCCTCAAAGTTGGATAGTTTAACTATTATGTGTCTTGGTGACTTATTCTTGGGATTCAGTCTAGCTGGTGTTCTTTCAGACTCCTGAATGGTTGCGTGGTTTTCATTCATTAAGTTGAGGAAGTTTTCCTCAAAGGTTTCTCTCGCTCTTGTTGCAGATGACTTATTTGTCGTGTTTTCCTCTGGTAATCCAATTAATGTGATGTTGTTCCGCTTCATAGCATCCGACATAGCTCTTAGGTTTTCTTCAGCTTCTCATGATCTTATTAGATTTTTGTTGACGTTTGTTAAAGTCTGCTTGGCTGTCCTCTAAGGCACTGATGTGGTTCTTTGCCTCCTCCAGTTGATTGGACACGTCCATGAGTCTGCTATAGGTTTTTGTTATCTCGTCCCTAAGCTCTTGTATTTCCCTTTGGTATATGGACTTTATCTCCTTTACCATTTCATCCTTTTTTTGTTTGCTTCCCTCATATCCTGTATGACTCCAAGCAACATTCTGAAAATTTCTTTCTGTGGCAGATTAATGTCTGCTTCTTCTATGCATGCCGTTAGGTTCAGGACATCTTCTGCCATTTTGTTTGTTTTTGAGATTGTTGGGGCTGATGGCTGTTTGCATTGTGTTATTTTAGAGGAGCCAGGGGCCATTTTCCAGGGAGTTGAAGAGCACTGGCTCTCTCTGGGAGACTCATCGGAATGCTTCTTCAAACTGCCTGCTGCTAATTTCACTATGGAATTGACTTACCACTTTATCCTCCTGTGGCTTCACTCTTTCCCTAGTCAACCAGTATTCTGTTATTTTGAGGGGAATTTGGATAATTCTCTCAGGGGATGCTCGTTGGGTTGTTGTGGACCCACGAGGATGGTGCTGTATTGAGTTATCTCACAAGAAACCATGATGGTGTGGCCCACAGCAGCTTGGGGCACTGCAGAGGGAATTCAGGGGTGCCCGCTGCAATGGGAGTGTCATAAAAGGCTGTTGGGTTGCCCGCTTTCATATAGAGCACTGCGAATGGTGGGCAGAATTGCCCTGGTCAGGTAGATCGTTGCGGAGGTTGGGAAGAGGTTCTCGCAGCAGTGTGGAACATTGGCGAGTGTTGGCCGAGCTGCCTTAGGCTGTGTGAGGCACTACGGCAGGCAGGAGGAAGTTCCCTCAGTCACAGAGGATGGATAGGAGCTCCCCCCAGCCATGCAGGCAGGATTTCCCCAACCAAGTGTTAAGCACTGCGAGGGAGGGCTGGCAGATGGAATTTCCCCAGAAGATGTTGGGCGGGATAATCCCTGGTGGAGGAAAGGTGGGTTTTCCCCAGCCTTGGGTTACGCTGTAGAGGATGGAGTGCTCCCAGCTGGGTTGAGGGCAGGTGTAAATGCCGTAGGCTCAGGGGAGTGGTCTGGAGGTTGGCCGTGGCATGTCAGAGAAAAGGGAAGAGAAAAAGAAAAAAAAAAAAAAACAGCCCACTGAGGAGATGGGGGAAAAGAGAGAAGTGAGGGAAACAAAAGTAACAATATAGCTGAGCCCTGATCCCTGACTGTGGTCCTGGAGAGGTTAAATCTCTGCCCTGAGGCGGCAGCAAGCTGTTGCTGTGTTGAGATTAAGCCCCTGTGCCAGCTACAAATGGGCCCAGCTCCAGCGGAGACCGTGGCAGGGCTAAGGTCAAACCCTAGCCGCCTCCACTGTGGTAAGTCAAAAGCCCCCAGCCCCTCAGAACCTAGTGGATCTGTGCCTACTTATCTTTATGATGCCCCTCCTGTGTTGCAGCAGTGTTGAATTTCCCTCTTAGTAACTCTCCTGAGCTGATTTCTGCGGAGTCCCTCTGGAATGTGTCACTCCGTCTCCATCTTTCCACAGTCTCTGTTTTTTTGTTTTTTAATACATTCCTACTCAGGCACTAATCTAAATGCTTTACTTGGATTATTTATCATGTTCTGTCTATTAAAAACCCTGCGTGTGGTGGGCACTGTCAGGATCCACAGTTTATATTTGAGGAAACTGAAACAAAGAGGTTAAGTTTCTTGAGGTGGGATAATTAAGTCAAGATTTAAATGTGGACAGTACAACTCCAGAGCCCATGCATTGATCTCCTACGTTGTACTAAGTCTGTGGAGAACATAATTTGCAACCTGCTTTTTAAAAAAGGTTTTTACAAAGTTTAACTTAGTAATAATATGCCACTTTACAAACAAAACCAAAACTGGTAGGTGCTCCCTACTATTTGTATTCTTCAGATATGAGGGACATTTAAACTATTATGTTTCTAGGAATCTGGGGTATTGGAGTTGCGACCCAGAAAGTTAACTTGAATCAGATCCCCCTTGGCCGAGATGCCCACAGTCTGGTGATGAGGAGTGATGGAGCCCTTTACTGCAACAATGAGGAGAAAAACAGGCTGCCAGCAAATAACCTTCCCCAAGAGGGAGATGTGGTGGTGAGTTTTCTTTTGGAGCTATTTCCCACGGTGAATTATTAAACTCAAATTGCTTTTAGCTATACAGTGTTGCCTGGGAGTTTGTGTTTGAATTTCAAAGTACTAGTATTGGATCTAATGAGGTGGCACATTTTCCAAAGAGAGCACTTTCATGGGTTGCCTGATATTTTTATAGAGCCGCGACTGGCCTGAGGACTATTGTGAGCCTATATTCCACCTCAGTTATTCTTACAGGTTCGGTCTGAATTGCAACTGATTTGCTGGGGGGGGCTGGGGGGGGAGGGGTGCAGGACTGGGTCATTTTTCTGTGTGCATAGGCTCAACCATCAGCTGGAGGCCGACTCTCCGGCAGTTATTAGCAACAACAACAATGGACAGTTTGGCTGCTGACCAGCGTTCAGCTTTTCTGATATCAGAAAAACCTTGGCTCTTAATTTTTAAAGTTTGTTCACCACTGTATTAGAAAATATTGGGTATATTTGAAGCTAGAGATCTTTAAAAGTTTGAATTCATTACTTAAATTGTTTTGAACTTCTGTTAATTAAAGTATATTTTTCAGGAGAGTTGTTTCTCATTAAACTTAATCTTATTAAACTTCCTTTTACATTCAGAACTCTTTAAAGAACTGTGCTCAAGATCCTAAGACTTGATTAGTGTAACATGTTTTAGAAGTCAGAGAACAGAGTTATGTACATTAATTCAATTTCTCTATATTTATTTCCCTCTAAATATACGTATATTTTTAGCAAAGCCACCCTATTAAAATGCAATACAAAGGTATTTTCTCTAGTTCCCTTTTCAAATACTTCCTCACATACTGTATTACCAGAAAACCCTATTGAGGGTAAGTTGAAAAGTATTGCTACAAAATAATTTATCAAACAAATGTATCCAAAGGCGAAGCTATTATTTCTTGACATATCTTCCATCAAAGTTTATTTTTTGCAATTTTAAATTTACACCATCCTTGAGGGATTCAAATTGTGTTTCTTTTCACTGTTCTTTTAGTTTGAGGAGCAAAGAGAAATCTGAAGGGGCATGATCAGGGCTGTACAGTGCACGGGGTAAGGTTTCCCAGGGACATTCTCTTGCTGTTCTTGAAGAATGACCACATGCATCGTCACGATGGGAAAAATTCTTGGGTACAACTTTTTCCTCTCACTGGTGTAGTTTTTGTTTTGTTTTTAACTGGTGTAGTTTTAAATCTTGAAACTTCTGCATAATACACACCTGTGATCATCCTGTGTCCTTTGGGAAACATCTATCATGATTACCCCTGTGCAGTCAGTTAAATAGTCACCATAGCCTTCTGAGCCTACCTGTTTTGAACTGGAATGAGCTGGCCCAACCGATCCCCTTGCACACTGCTGTTTTGATTAGGCCTTGATCTCTGGATTGTATTGGCAGATTCAAGACCTGCCCTGAGTTATACTTCTTTCCATAAAATCGTCTTCAGAAAGAAAAAAAATCATCTTCGTTACCTTTGGTCTTGCTTAAAAGGATGATGAGAGGTCGCTCTTGAAGGTAGTTGATCTTTACATAATACTTTGGCATCCATCAAGCCAAAAGCTTGCTAAGGCCAAGATGCTTGCATAAAACTGAAAATACTGAATTATGTGAGACCCCAGCTTCAGTAGTTATCACATGAATAGTAATTCTTCTTCCACCACTTTCTGAACTCCAGCCACAACTTCTTCATTTGTCCAGGTTGATGGCCTTCTCTTTCTTGGCTCATCTTTGACATTTTCCGGACCTTCTTTAAAATATTTGATTCCGCTAAAAGGTACTGTTTTATGTGAGATAGCAGTTCTCTAAACTTTTTACAAAACTTTATAATAATTTGGGAAGATGTCTACTTGAGTTTTGTTAAAAATTTCATTTTAGCCCTGACCTCAAATCATTTTTTTCTCATAGCACAAATGTATCCTTATTATTTTTATTTGTAGGCTCCCTTATAAGACAAGTGTATTACTGAGAGAACTTTTCCACAGCCATCCATTGATCAGAGACATGTTCGAGCAAATTTTGTTTGCAAGAAACCTTGAATGTATGAACTAGAACATTGGTAGAAATAAGCTTTTATTTACCCTCATATACTGAGTTCAGGCTACTAGCTATTGATTAAAAGGAGAACTCTGAGTCTTCTTTAGCAAAGGTGCCCCTGGATCTGGTATCGAGTTGAAAGGAATTTGAATAATGAAGAAAATGTCTGATAAGAAGACACAAGGTAAACCTTGGTTATTGAGTTAAAGAAACATGGTATTTTGAAAATAATGAAGAAAGGCAGAAATAAAGAATTTTAACTATGATATGATCTTATACTATGATTTTAAAAATGTGAACATTAATTTTTAACTTTTGAACTTTCTTTTTTTCTAAATTGACTAAAAGAAAAGAAAAAGAAGACAGAAGGCATAATCCATGTTTTACAACCAGCCTCCCCTATTCCTTTTGAGTAGTCAATTATGAATTTACAGATTATTGCCCTGTGTCCATGATATGGAACATCCTTATTGAAATCATTGTTTCTTTAAAGAGAATCCTGAAATTAAGTTGATGCTGTCAGCCAGGTCACACTGAAAGATGAAAGTCAGCCATGAGAAAGGATAATTAGCAACAAATGGTTTCCTTGCTGATGCACAGACCTTCTGCTGTGTGTCATTTTTGCCTTTCTGCCGCATTCATGAGATGACTGCTGCCACACATTGACAGAGTTAATGATGTCAGTCACCCGCATGATGAAGTCGGGTTTTTAATTTTACTGCTCATTCTGATCAAAGGAGGACTAAAAAAATGTTTGTAGAATCAAGAGAAGTAAAATATCACTGTACCACATTAACTTTACTTTCCTGGTTCAAATACTTGAAAACGAATTTTACCAAATTTATGACAGTGGTATAGAAAAAGAAGAGTGGATTATAAGATGCAAAGAACTTGCATGTTGTAGGATTTCTGTTATATGCTATTCTGAGGAGAAATCGAGAAAAACAAGCTTTTAACTCCTAACCAAGTGATTATATCCATACAATAACACTAGGTTATGCTTATTTTTTTTACTTTATCATTTTGAAAACTGCAAATTACATTTTAAAAATATATTTTGATGTTAATACAGAAGTTTGACAAACAATCTATGTAATAATAGCAAGAAGAAGAACTGACAGGACCTTTGTTAGGGACTAGGCCCTGTTCTAAGGAGTTCTGGGTCAGTGGTTCAAACCCACCCATTACTCAACTGGAGAAAGATAAGTCTGTCCCCGTAAAGATTTAGCCTCAGAAACCCCATGGACAGTTTTCCTCTGTCCTGTCGGGCACTGTGAGTCAGAAATGACTTGATGGCAGTGACGTTTTATGGCTTGCGTGCTTGCTTGTTTTGCAGTTGAGGTTCTGTTTTAATGCCTGGCAGTGATTCAGTTGTTGAATCCCCATAATGACCTTTATAGGATAGGTAGTAGTATTGTCCCCATTGTATAGATTAGGATAGATTCAGTAAGTTCTCATAAGGGATAGTACCAGGGTTATAATCAAGGCAGTCTCATTTCACAATGTGCTCACTAAGCCTGCAGATAAGTATTGATACTGATATCATAGACCACATTGAAATTTTTGTAATCAGTTGTTAACAGCATCAACCCTAGCTGTAGCTCATATAACAGGACAGATTAAGTTAGAAAAGAACTGAATTAAGCATGACTGTAGGCTGCCATATTTTCCTTCTTTCTTTGGTGTTAGGATTTTGCTGCCAGACTGGCGGCTTGGGTTAAAATTTGCTTGCTTGTAATAGGGTATGCTGCTGCTAGGTGGTAAAGGGCTCCTAGATTACCACTTGAACTGGGGAGCCCTTGTGGCGTAGTGGCGAACCAGAAGATTGGTGGTTTGAATCCACCGGCTCCTCTGTAGGAGAAAGATTTGGTGGACCACTTCTGTGAAGACTCACAGCCTTGGGAACCCTGTTGGGCAGTTCTGTTCTGTCTTGTGGGGTCACTGTGAGTTGGAATAGACTTGATAGCATGGGTGTGGGATTGAGAGGTAAACTTCTGGATCTCTCTTTTTTTATACTTTTTTAAAAATAAAAATAAAAACCGACATGTATTAGAAAAACCGTATTATTTCAATACATAAACTAAATGAAATAAAATCAATGTATATATAATTTATGACTCAGTGGCAGTTGGTTTGATTTTTTTGGTGATCATTATTTAATTTAACCCTGGCTTTGCTAAGATTTAAGGAAAAACTGTTACATCATTTAACACACTGACTTCTTGAGTCTTCTGCTGCCTAGCAGAGTTAAGTAAGAGAATTAAGGCAAGGTGATGTATAAAAATTCTTTCTACTAAAAGTTTTTAAGTTAATATAACTTATCCATTGTTAGAAGTCCTTATGTAGCTTGGGTTTTCATTGATGATGATTTCTCTAGTCAAAGATCCCTACCATCTATTCTTAATTCTCTGAAAAAACGATCTTTTTTGCCATTAGAGAGAAGTAGTATATTAAGATTGTGTACTTTGAAGCCATACTTCATGGGTTTAGATCCTAGCTCTGCTATTTAGCCAAGGTCATCCGTTTAAAGCACCAGCAGCTCTGTGGGAGAAAAGACCTAACAACATGATTCTGTACAGATTACACCCCAGGAACAATTCTGTTCTGTATATGTGGTTTCTGTTGGGTTGCTATGAATGAGCATCAACTCCATAGCATAAAACCGCAGCAGCAGAATAGTGCTTGGAGCATAATACAAACTAGTACTTTAATCACAATTATGATTACTAATCAACTTGATTTTGATTTTGATACCACCAGTAGTGTTCAGAGTTTTTACATATAAATGTTTATATACATATATGTTTTTAAATTTTTGAGCTCTTGTTTTTCTACTTCTCTGTTTAATACTAATTATTATATTATCTTAATATTCAAACTATAAAATCCAGATGGTGGGAGCATAATCCTAGTTTTAAAACTATGGTCATTAATTTTTCCTTCAGTGTAGACTTGGGATTTACCTGCCTTCTTCCCCTCACTTAGTCACAATGAAATGTTTTAGCTCAGTTCAGGTGCTCGACCAGATTGTCAATCCTTAATGAAAGCTACTGTGGTTCTTTGCTTAATCCGTTTTTCATGTTTCCATGCCTCCCAACTAATGTCTTTTGACTGTTCAGGTTTTTATGAACTTTCATGTTTTTAAACTTTCAAGTTTTCTCTTTTCTTCATAGGGCATTACATATGACCATGTAGAACTGAATGTCTATTTGAATGGAAAAAATATGCACTGTCCAGCATCAGGTATACGAGGGACGGTCTATCCAGTTGTTTATGGTAAGCTAAAATATTTCTGGTGCATCATTACATATAAGCTAATTTTTACTCAGCATTCTTATAAACCTTTTAATTATCATTCAGAAGTCTGGGCAATTGGTAATAAGAACTTTTCTGTGTGGAGTATACTCTGTATGATATCATGATCCCATTTTGCAGGAATAAGGTAGCTTTGATTTTTTTTTTCTCTTGTATTAAGAAAACAAAACTTTAGCTTAGTACAGTGATTATACAAAAATAATACTCTCCTTTTTAATGACCTAATCTTAACTTTTAGAGAGTATTAAAGCATCATGGAATTTATAAAGATCATTTTGTCAGTTATTAAAAAGGATAAGATGACCAGGAAGTAAAACTATAAAGGATATTTTGGAACTAGGGACGAGAATTTGGTGAAGATTGAGATTAATAGAAGTTTTAAATGCCAAAAGTATTTAATTTTTTAAAAAGTACTTAAATGTCAAAGTTCCTCTTATATATAAATTGTTACTTATAATCTAACTACATCTGCATTAATCCATTTTTCAATGCAATCTGTCTGATAGCAAGGCCATTCACATCCCTGGTCAGTGGTCAGAGGGAATTCACCAAAGGCTTAATTCAGGTGGGCTCCCTGCAAGTGGATTTTTGGCTTTTACTGTTATCCGTACCGTTCTACAAACTAGGTGCTCGGAATTTAAACTCTAATGCTATTTCCCTCCTTCAGGCTTAGATTTTATTATTTATAATCCTGTTTTACACTGGATGGTGTGTGTCTTCCAACTAAGCCGACACCTTAGATAGTTACTTGCTTTAAGACAAGCCTTTAAGACCCTAGACACTGTTCTCTGTGGGGTGTATGCCCAATACTGGTATTGCCGGACCATCTGGGGTTTCTGTTCCCATTTGATTTAGGTAGCTGTGTATCACTTTACACAATGGTTGTACATGCTGACAAGACCACCAGTGGTGGATAAGAGTTCTAATCTCTCCATACCCTCTTCAGCATTTGTTGTTTTCTGTTGTTTTGAATTAGGCTATCATGAGTATAAGGTGATAGCTTATTGTTTTGATTTGTATCTCTCAGATGGCCAGTGATTGTGAGTGTTTTTTCCATGTATTTGTTAACATTTTGAGTGTCATTTTTAAAAATCATTTTATTGGGGGCCCTTCCAGCTCTTATAACATTATATACGCCAATTAAATCAAGCATATTTGTACATGTTTCCATCATCATTTTCTAGACATTTATTTTCTGTTTGAGTCCTTGGATCAGCTCTTTCCCTCCCCCCCCACCCCCCTGCTTTGAGAGTCATTTTTTATGAAATACCTGTTTGTGTCTTTTGCCCACTTTTATTTTTTTAAGTTGTTGCAGAATTCTATAGATTTTAATAATTAGTCCCTTGTCCATAGTGTTGTGGCTAAAAAATTTTTTCCACCAGCCCAGGGGCTGTTTTTACTCTTTTGATGAAGTCTTTTGATGTGCATAAGTGTCATATTTTTAGTAAGTCTCAGTAATATAATTTGTCATCCATATGAGGACTTTCTTTATTATATTTGGTAGTCTATGTATGTTTTGCAATAGGACCTTATATTTGTCCAAATTTTCTCATTGATGGTCCTTATAGTTCTGGGATTTACGTTGGATCTCTGATTCATCCTGAGTTCGTTTTTGTGCATGAGACGAGGTGTGAGCCCTGTTTCATGATTGTGCAGATGAAGATCCAATTTTGCCAGCACCGTTGGTTGAAGAGGCTGTCTCTCATTTAATGCTTTTGGCCCTTTGTTGAAAATTGATTTTATGTAGGTGGGTGCATTTATTTCTGCGTCCTCTAATTTGTTCCATGAGTCTATGTATCTGTCGCTGTACTAGTACCAGCCTGTTTGTGTGGCTGGTACTAGTTTTTCTTCTTTAGGAATTCTTTGCTTATCCTAGAACCCTAGCCTCTCCATATCGAATTGGTAATTAGTTTTTTCATTTCTTTAAAAATAAAGGTGGGATTTAGATCACAATTGTTTTGTATTTGTAGATTGCTTTGTATAATATTGACATTTTCACAATATTAAGTCTCCGTATCCGTGAACTCTTCCATTTTTGTAGGTCTCTTTTGATTTCTTGTAGTATCTGTAATTTTCTTTGTACAGATCTTTTGTTACTATGGTTAGATTTATTCCTAAGTATTTCATTGACTAAGGAATACCAAAGAAATCTACGCATTTGAATTGTGGTATTAAGCAAAGAATTAAGAAAATGGACGGCTAAAAGAACAAACAAATCTGTCTTGGAAGAAGTACAGCCAAAATGCTCCTTAGGTGAGACTTAATCTCACATGCTTTGGATATGTTAGCAGGAAAGACAAATCCCTGGAGAAGCCCACCATGCTTAGTCAAGAGGCGAGCAGTGAAAACAGAAGGCAGCCCTGGAAAAGGTGAATTGACAGATGGTTGCAACAGTCTGCTCACACTTGAGAGCAACTGTGAGGGTGGCCCAGGACCGGTGGTATTTTGTTCGATTGTACATAGGGGGGTCCATATGAGTTGGAATTGACTCAACACTCAACAGCACTAACAACAAACAATTTCAAATTTTGTGTAACTATTGTAGATGACAGGTTTTTTAATGCCTTTTTCAGAGCTGTCTTAGGTGGTAAACAGGAATCCAATGGATTTCTGCTTGTTCATCTCCTACCCTGTGACTTTACCAAATCCTTTGAGTGTATATAACAATTGTTTTGTGGACTCTTTGGGGGTTATCCACATAAGAAATCATATCCTCTGTAAATAGTGAGTTTCAGTTCTCCTTTGCTCACTTGTATTTCCTTGGTTTCTTTTGTTATCTAATAGTTCTTGCTAAGACTTCCAGCTTGATGTTGAGTTGAAATGGTGATAGCAGTCTTATCTGGCTCTTGTTTTCAGGGGAAATGTTTTCAGTTTTTGCCTGTTGAGCATGATGTTGGCCCTGAGATTTTTTGGTATATATGGCCTTTATTATATTGAATTTCCCTTCTATTTTTTTTTCTTTTAGTGTTTTGTTTTTAATCAGAAATGGATGCTGGCTATTGCTTTTTCTGCATCTTTTGATGTGATAATGTGGTTCGTCTTTGTCTTGTGGTAGATTGCATTGATTATTTTTCTAATGTTAACCATCCCTGTTATAAACCCACTTGATTGTGTGAACTGGTGTTTTTGGTGTTCTTGGCTTCTATTGGCCAGAATTTTGTTGCAAATTACTGAATCTGTGTTCATGAGGAATATTGGTCTATAATTTTCTTGGTAGGGTCTTTGTCTATTTTATGCTCACTTCATAGAATGATTTGAGAGTGTGTTGTTCCTTTCTGTGTTCTGGAATAGTCTGTGTAGAATTGGTGACAGCTCTTCACTGAACATTCGGTAGAATTATCCTGTGCCATCTGCTCCTGGGCTTTTCTTGATTGGAAGTTTCTGGGTGAATTTCCCTATTTCTTCTTTTGTTTTGGGTATATTGAGGTTTTCTACAACTGTCTGAGTTAATTTGGGCAGGTGGTGTACTTCTAGGTATTTGTCCATTTCTTTTAGGTTATCAAACTTGGAGTACAGTCTTTCGTACTAGGGTATTATTTTCCTTTTATTTCATTTGAATATGGTGTAATGTTGCCTTTTTATCTCTAATTCTAGACATTTGCATCTCCTCTTCCTTTTCATTTGTGAAGTTTGTTAGTGGTTTTTCAATTTTGTTAATCCTTTTCAAAGAACTAACTTTTTGTGTTGTTGGTTCCCCACCCCCCCATTTTTTATTGTTGTTATTTAGCAGTTAGTTTATTCTGCTCCTATCTTTCTGATTTCTTTTATCTTATTGTAGAGTTTATGTTGTGACACTTGTTTTCGTTGTTGGAGATATTGTGTTAACATATTGGTTTTGGATTGCTTCTCTTTTTTTCAGGTGTGCTCTGATTGCTATAAATTACCCACAAATATTGCTTTTGCTGTGTTCCCAAGATTTTGGTTTGTTGTGTTACCATTCTCATTTCTTAATTTCATCCCTTATTTGTTTGCACAGTTGGGGTTTTTTCCCCCAACAATTTTATTGGAGCATAATTTACATATTATAAAATTCAGTCATTCAATCATATCAAGGGGAATTGTACAATCACCACCACATCTATCTTAGAGCATTCTCTACCCCCATGGTTGAGTTGCCTTTAAAATGAGTTGGCTATCACAATCTGCCCACTCATTTTTAAGTAGTATGTTGTTCAATTTCCATGTGTTTAGCTTTTTGTTCTTCCTATTATTGATCTTCAGTTTTATAGCATTATGACCTGAGAAAATGGATTGTAAGGACTCAATGTTGTTGTTTTTAATTTATTTTTTAAGGTTTGCTTTGTGGCCTAACGTGGTTTATTATAGAGTATGTGCTGTGCGTGCTAGAGAAGTATAAAGAATGTGCTTTTGTCTGGTAGAGCACTCTATATATGTTTATTATGGTTACGCCTTCTTGTTCTAGTGTCCCTTTAATCATTAAGTGGTATCCATTTTTGTCTCTAATTTTGCTTTTACCTTGAAGTCTATTTTGTGAGATTAATATTGCCACACATTTTTCCACATCCTTTGATATTTAGTCCATGTTTGTCTTGAAGATGTGTCTCATAGGCAGCATATAAATGGGTCTTGTCTTCTAATCCGATACTCTCTCTTGATTGGTGCATTTTATCCATGACGTTCACTGTCATTGTTGATGTATGTGAGCTGGTTGCTGTCATTTTGCTGGGGTGTGTGTTTACTGGTATCTTTGTTCCGCCTCTAACTTTGTGTTGGTCTGTGCTGCTTTCATTGTGTTGATTTCTGGGTTGTTTTGTGCTTTATATTTCTCTTGGGTTTGTCAGCTGTTGTTGATTATCTGTTCATATTGAACCTGTTAATATTTTTTGGAATGCTGCTCTTGCTTTTACAAATTCCTTTAGTCTTTCCTTGTATGGAAATACCTTTATTTCCCCCTCATATTTTAAGGATACTTTTACTGGATGTTGGATTCTTGGTTGGTG